CCCCAAAACCCCAAAACCCCAAAACCCCAAAACCCCATAAAAAGGAGATCCAATTGTTTTATTTAATAGTAATTTTAAAGGATTAATGGTAAGATGAGGGTAAATCTTTGTCCAAAAACAAGGATTTATACCAGAAACCTTCATGATTCTCTCCTCAATTTGGTTCCATTATTGTTTGCCCAATTCCTGGCTTATTTTAACCACGTTTTCATAGATGTACTTACCAAAGGGCCAGAAGAAAGAGTCCTATGATATTGAGTTTGACAAAATGCAAGGAATTATTGACAGATCTGACAACGAAGATAAAGCTAATAAACTCAACGAAGAATTGACAAGTCTGAGAAACAACATTGAGCTCTTGATCCCAAGGATTGGCTTTACTGAGATCGAAGACAAGATCAGAGATCCTGTTACTGAATACATTAAGATCAAAGACAATGGTAAGTATCAATAGTTTATTCTTTAGATGAGGATTTCTTGTTCGAAAAGCTTAGCAATGCCATTCCTAAACTTACTGCAATTGTGGGAAGGATTTTGATGAACAATTTTTCCTATTTCTCGTCTAAAGAAAGTGATAGAAGCAGGGAAAACAAAGAAAATTCAGATAGGATTGTTGAAGAAATTGAAGTAAAGATTGAAGCAGCAGGAGGTTCTCTAAAGCAAGAATATATACAAGAGTATGCTCAATACGAGAAAGATAACCATTTCATTCAAAATGAATACGAGATTAAGGCTAGTATGAAATCACTATCAAAGGATATCCAGAAAAGAGCTTCTGACATTAACAAATGCATCAAAGATACAGAGGGTAAGTTCCCAAATCTCAGAAAATCAAATTTAACAGCAAATCTTTCTCTAACTTTTTCTAAAATTTTCCAAAATCTCCTTTAATTTCGAATTTTATTTTAGTCATGGAGAAGAAGCAGGCTAAGTACATGAACTATGGGAAGGCAATAGACTTCCCCTTCTACAATGCTCTTCAAAAGTTCAAGGATAAGGGTGAGGAACTCACTTCTGAAGACACCAAAGTCATTCAAAGAGAGATCGTAGAAGAACTCCATAAGAGGAAGGTAGACATTGAAGCAATCAAGGGTCTGTACTATGACGAAGAAGATGGCAAGATTGTAGAAAGAGAAAGTAAGTCCTAATAAATTAACCCTAATCTTTCATAGTTGATCAAGGATTCGCTGATAGAAACAAGAATATCGGCGTGGACATCCTGAAGGGAGAGACATTCGAATTTTGTGACCATGAGTGCACCTTCAATACTTTCAGTGACTCTGTTGAGATGAAAATAACTGTGGAGAAATTGGAATCCCTCCTACAAAACTCTGGAAAATCTAAACTCCCAGATGAAATCAAGTCATTCTCTTTGATTATCGTTAAAGATGATCATCAAGGAGAGAAATTAGGCCAGATAGAGGAGAACGATGACGACATACACCCTGAAGAGCATGTAAATTTTACCAAAATAACCACATCTTTAATATCATTTAGGAAGAAGCTGGTGATGATTCAGAAGAAGAACACCCACCAGATGATTCTTCAGATGATTCAGAAGATGAAGATAACAAAGGTCAGGAAGAAGGTAAATAGGTTCTCTAATCTTTAGAGAAAATTCCCATGTTTGATCAGAGGTATCAAGATAACGACTCAGAGCCTGAAGATGCTGTTCATAAAATCGACATGTCTCCATTCCTGAAAGTTCTCCCCGAATCTTTAGAGACCTTCACTTTCTCTTGCTTGAAATACAAAGAAGAAGTTAATTTGGATGAGGTCTTTAATCTTGGTGCTTTCTTCAAAGGACTTGTAATGCTTGGAATTAGGTATTTTACCATTAGAAGAATCAACTTCACTCTTGATGCTAATGTCGAAATGATTAAGAATGTATTCAAATCAAATCTTGAATACGATTTGATCAAATACATCAGTTTCTACGAGTGTGAGAATGTATGAAAGATTGATGATGCTCTTACCGAGCTTGGAAATTTGGACAATCTCTCATTTTCTCACTGTAAACTGGATGGTAAGCACTAATGTTTTTGAGCTGTAAACTATAATCAAAATTTCTCATTATTTTCATAGACAACTGTGTCAACGACCTTGAAAATATCTTGCAAGGATACAGGAACAAGAGTCTCAACACTCTGGGATTAAACCACAACAAGTTTACAGAGGTTGGAAAGAAGAACATGGAGAAATGGGTAAAAGGAGATGAAAAATCTTTGCATATTCAGAAGATCCATCTGTACAACAACTGCATCAAGCACCAAAGAGGTCAGAGCTTATCGCTTTTAAATACTATTCAGGGGGATTATTAACCATTTAAAATATTTCCTGTTCTGCCAATTAAATAAACTCCGTTAGGGGTTTTGGGGTTTTGGGGTTTTGGGGTTTTGGGGTTTTGGGGTTTTGGGG